TACCAGGATCCAATTTGGTTCCACAGTGATTGTTCTCCAAAGAAGACCCCAAGCAAAATTTGTTCTGGTGGTCTGGGTTCGTTGACTCATTTCTACAGAGTATGTAACTGTCTTTTAACAGTCTCTGCAAATCAGATCATGCAATATCTATATTGCGTTACATTTTAATATTTTTAGTGTGTGTTTTTCTTAAGCACGTTTTTGTACTGGAAAAAAGGAGTGGCTCTTAATTTCATTGTACTTGTGTATAATGACTATAAAGGCATTCTGATTCTGATTCTGGTGTCAGACTCTACCAGGTTGTTTAGTGGTGTACCTCAAGGTTCTGTTTTGGGACCCATTTTGTTTATTCTTTATATCCTCCCCTTGGACACATAATTCAGCAGTTTAGAAATGTGCTATATCCCTTTATGCTGATGATATCCAGCTCTACTGCTCATTCAAAGAAAGTGACTTTTATAAACTGAATTCCTGCTTGGCTAACATGAAGCAGTGGCAGCTACTGTGAACTGAACTGGGATCAGACTGAAACTCTGATTAGTGACCCTGAAAACAAGGTTTCTCAAATTAAACAGTTCTATGGTCTTCTAGGTCCTTCAGTTCAGTCCAGTCTCAGAAACTTGGTGTCATTTTTGATTCTGTGATGTTTTTGAAATGAGACTAGAAACTGTCTCGTCCATCTCAGGAAATTTTCAAACTGAAAAGCTTCCATTCAAAAAGTGAACTTGAGATGATCATTCATGCTTTTATTTGTTCTTGTTTGAACCGTTGGACCAGCTGATTCTCATGTTTAAACAGAAGGTGCTGGACCGTCTTCAGATCATCCAGAACTTGACTGTAAGTTTGTTGACTTCTATGAACAGACCTGTTTTAGCTTCTAGTTCCCGTCAGAGTGGATGACCTGACTGAAAAATGTTGGATTGTATACCTGGATTATTGAGCATGGACTTTGTTGTTCAGAGTGGTAGTTATAACATTTAGAGCTTTGCAGGAACAAACCCCTCCTTATTTCTCTGACCTGGTTCAGCTCTTAGGTCAAAGGTCAGAGGTTGTTAGTGGTACCAGCACCCATTTCAAATCTCGTGGGGATCGGTCATTTTGAGCAGATGCCCCCTGACTTTGGAAGCTCTGCCTCCATCTTTATGCAGCCGAGATTATACAGATGCGTTAAAAACATCTGAAGACGTTCAGATATAAACAGGCTTTTATCTAGATCTAGAGTGTTTGATGTGTGTCTTCTATACAGTTTTACCATCTTTCTGAGCTCAGTGGATGTTTATACGTACTTGGGTTTCCTGCTTCTACTGTGAAGCACTTTGTGATGTAATATCAATGAAGAGTCACATCAACTTTACTTTCTTACTTGGAGTTAAACCTGACTTTGTTTAATTATAAATTATAAACCAGGTTCTGCTGCCTCTTTAGGTTCTGAATATCCAAACTGCAAACTCTCAGACATCTGTAAGAACCCGGGTAAATCCCTGGGAGCTAAACAGAACCGGCTGGATAAGGTTGTAATAACACAGCAGACGATCTGAATCACCGTCGTGGTTTTCTTCTTCACAGCTCCAAAAACTCACTGCTGGCCGACGTACAAACCTCCCACGCACGCTGAACGCAGCACTGAACGTCAGATGGGTCTAAATTTAGAGACTCGGTTCTAATTCTGGACCTGCTCAGTGGGTCAGCAGGCTGGAAGGCTTGGTCCTAATTCTGGACCTGCTCAGTGGGTCAGCGGGCTGGAAGCTTTCGGTCATCTCAGCTTTTATTTCCAGAGTTTCCAAACATCCAGAGCAGCCGAAGAAGAAGAATCCTGCTCAGTCCAGCATTGTCACAGTCTGGATCCTGGAGTCCAGATCCATCAGTCTGGATTAGTGGTTGAACAAACTAATCGATTCTAGGACATCTCACGAGTTTTTACATTTCACGTCGACTAGTCTCAGTCACGTGATTTCTGGCTACAGAATGGATTCTTCCAAGCAGCTGGAAGGTGAGGAGCAGGCCAAGTCTTGGCAAACAGGTAGAAATTCATCCAAAGTGTGGAAGTATTTCACTAAAGATGACTCCTCTGGTTCAATTTTTTCTGTGAATATGGGTAAAATGGCGTCTTGAGTTCCTATGACGTCACAGCAACTAATCGACACTGACTCGTCTTTTATCATGTTGAAGTCGACTTTTAAAAATATGAAGTTGTGTAACCCCTAGTCTGAATCGAACTATCTCGATCCATCAGTCTAGATCCATCAGTCTGGATCCAACAATCCCAATCCATCAGTGTGGATCCATGAATCTGGATCTATCAATCTGGATCCATCAGTCTGGATCCATGAGTGTTGACCCATCAGCCTGGACTCATCAGTCTGGACTCATCAGTCTGGATCCATCAGTCTGGATCCAACAATCCCAATCCATCAGTCTGGACCCATCAGTCTGGACCCATCAGTGTGGACCCAACAGTCTGGACCCATCAGTGTGAATTCATTAGTCTTTTTTTGTACTCTATTAATCCCCAATGGGGAAATTAATTCTCTGCATTTTGTCCATTGCACATGTGAAGCAGTGGGCTGCCATCCAAGGTGCCCGGGGAGCAGCTGGGGGGTTAAGGGTCTTGCACCTTGGGCTCATTCGCCCAAGGTGCGGCAAATGAGGGTGGAGACAGGTGTGGATGTTTTACCTTTTCCACCCACATTTTGATGTTATTGGTCCAGGGAGTTGAACCGTTGACCTCACAGGCCCACCCCTCTCTAACCTCTGCGCCACGACTCTCCCAATTTGGTTCTGATCATGTAGAGCCCTGAAAATATGTTAAGAACGTGATAGTATTCAATTCA